TATGCATTATTATCAGTTATTAAATCAGAAATGTTAACCACACATCATCACTATATCGTAAGTAGCCGATACCTACAACGCATTCAAGGTATTTTTCCAGATCTTTCACAAAGGAAAAACACACGCATTGCAAAGTCAGAAGACTTTTCCTAGCTACATTATTTTTTCTCCATTTAATAACATGAAAGCTGAAGTAAATGTATTAAAGAGAACCACTTCAGACAGCTAGATTTTACATCATTTCCAAATGGAACCACAAAAAAAGAAAAACTTGCAATGGAAGAGTTAATGTAGCTTCTGTCCACAAAATGGAAATTTCAAGTGCATGAAGATTAATTTTTTTGGCTGCTCTGTAGTTAATATTTTATTTGGCATACGTAGGTGGAAGTGCTTGTATCATTTATACTGCAGCATTAATGTTATTGGCTAGCACGCCATTTAGACTCCATTACTGAAGGATATGTATTTAATCAGAAAATAAACCTTTTTTACAAGATTGCATGCTTTAAGCATGCGTTTAATTATATAAAGGGTCAGGCTATGCTTTAGAACTCACTGGTTGTGTCAAAAACTATTTGCACATGACTTCTGATTTCTTCCACTTGTGTCCCCAAAACTGAAACATAAATATTTGTACTTGAGTAATTCAGCTTTTCCAATGCACTTATATAACTTCTGTTGTATTAAAAGATCTCTTATATTTCTAAAGTCGCAAACCATACCACAGCACTCAAAGTGGACTCCAGAAATAATTAAAGCAAGCCTGTACACATACAAATGTTTACCATTTTATGGAAAATGAAATGGAAAGCCCAGAAACTTAAAATAACTAAAGATTCCTGTGTAGGAAAAAGAAACAGTTACATCCCCTGCAGAAATAAGCTAAAACAGTTGGTGACTCAAATATGAAGCATATTAAAATGCTATTGATAAGCTAAATTAACAGATAGCTTATCTGAAGCATACACTAGCCATATGGTGCCACAACCACTACAGCCTGTTGCTGGCATAACAATAGGCTGTTCCAGACAGTGGAAAGCACTGTTTGACAAATGGTCGTTAGCATGAATTTTCAGAGCAGAATGTGCAAGAGTAAATGCATTATGCGTATTTGCATTTTTTTTCTACAGGTGCATAAAAGACCAAACCAGATGTCAACTTCAGCACTGCCCTGTTGGGCCTCCGTGATTGTACAGCACTGCACATTCTGCCACAACTATGGCTAGGACAATTATCTTCTGCCCCCCCTTCCTGCATGGCCCACCCCCACCAGTTCACCACCAAGCCAACAGCGAGCCCTCTTAAAACACCTGGTTTCTTTTCACTTTGCCTCTGTAGAAATGTATTCTACTCTTTGTGTCAGCAGTCACTTTGGTCTTTCCGTTCAAACATGCACCATACGATGAGAATTTATTCCAGTATGGGTTGGTATCTTTATTTCCCCAAGTCGCATGATTCTGAATTCAAGGAAATGGATCAGTACTAAAACGCATTAATGGACAAAAATGTTGAATAAAACAGTATGCAAGCAAGAAATGGGAGAATTGGACCCTTTCAACACGTTTTTTTTTTAAAGGTGTGCAAAAATTGATCTTGCACCATTTCATTTTCAACTTTCAATTAAAACAGTATTTCCTAAATGACCATAATTAAACATTTATCTTGTATGTATGCTTCCCTTGGTTCACAAAATCGATCATTACTCGACACCTTACAGAACAAAAGGCATAGTGCATATGAAAAACTGCTAATGTACTGAACTATGAAAACCATCAAATATATGAATTATGTTTCTCATTCTATATTTTGTGAAAAAACAGAGTATAAGTGTAACATACAGGGTTTTATTTGATTTTTTGCAATTCACGTCTACAAAAAATTCACAACTAAATCATCCAATTTTAACTGCAGCTCCTGTTACCGTTTTCAGTCACATTCTGAATTGCAGGTCACAGTGACCCTGCTGCAGAACTCGTATCCATAGCACAAACCTGTATTAACCTTCACGTTGAAAACTTCAATGACCCTTAAACAAATATTTTCCTCAGTGGAATGGGGATTTTCTTACACCAGTCTCCAGAGACTAAAAAGGATCCATCTTCCTTTACTTAAATAATCCGTGAAGGTTAACCTTGTAAAACAACAAAAACATAAGCATTTCCTATCAAATATGATGGTTTAAGAATGTGAACAACTATCGCAGCTTTACTCCAGTGTAGCATCATTGTACTGTTACATCCAAGATAAAAATCAAATCATATTTGCATGTCAAAGATTTCATTTGAATGCTTTCCAAATTCAAAGGCTGCAGCAAATTATTTTAATTAAAACCTGTGCACATAAAAATATATCTGTTCCTGTATTTAGAAAACAAACCATGCCAACATATATAAATTCAGTATGTTCGCACATAATTAACATTTCCCAATACTGGCTTACAAATCTTTGAGAAGTGCCATCTAGAACTGCCTTTTATTTTCATTGGTTTATGGTCCACAGCAAAACTTAATATCAATTAAATTCATCTATGACTATTTACGTAATTAAAATGATACTTTTAGTATGAACTCATCTTCAACAACAGTGATTGAGGAGGAAAAAGTACATTCTCTTTCTAGAGCTGAGATTTTTAATAAATGTTCATTTAGGGTCGACAATCACTGTAGCAAGCAAAAGATTAGGTAAAAAGATGTATACTTTTTTAACTCACGTTTTGTGCTGGTTCCCATTTCTCTAACAGTGTGAGGACAGGCTTCTTAAACTAAAACCACTAACCTCAGAAACACTTATTTGTATACAACCACATCATTTCAAGATAACACATTAAAAAACAAAAAATGCTCAATTTAATAAAGCACATCAAGTGTACTGTTCACTATGTTACTACAATGCAAAAAATTAATTATGATTCAACCTGTGAAATGCCCTTTTGCTTTTGTGTTGTGTCTTTTAATACTATGCACTACATTATATACATAGAAAAGTCGATAACCACACTCTCAAGCCTGTGGGAGACAATGTTCTATTCTTCCACTGGTAAATGTAATGCAGGCTGATGTCCAACAGGTCCAGTAGTTGCATAAGCTGAAACAAAGCAACTATTGCTATCCTTGGTATTTTCTCTCAGCAAACAGATTTACTCCTCACCATCCTGTTTTGTCAAGGGTTAAGTCTGCTAGAAGTCAATCTGTTTACAGTAGCAAATTGTCCTAGTTAGAGACATCAAGAAATAACTACAGATAAAACAATACAATGCTTGTCTTATTTCATTTTACACCTTTTAAAGAAAATCAACTACAAGAAAGAATTACCCAAACCAAACAGTACAAGCTGCTTGCCAAAAAAAAAATTTACTGAGGGAGGATAAAAGGATGAACACCTACTAAATTTCCAAGTTTTTTTTTAATCCAGAATTGCTGCTGGGGGTCAAATACATTTAAAATTTTATTTCAAATAGACTATTCTATTTAGACTTTTCAGGATATTTTATCATTTCTGCTTGGTTACCTCTATAGCATCCATGTACATAATAAAGCTGCCCTTTGGAAATTTTAACCTATTTGCATAGGCAGGTGTTTGAGTGGAAGCAAACCAGGCCAGATCAATATAAATCGTAATAAAATTAGTAAAACAGAAGAGAGTCGTGACTATTCTTTAACAGAAAACTAAAACTAAAAAGCCCAATAAGAAACCTTTAAACCTCCAGATGATATAGATTTTGATCTTAATACCGTTTGGCGTATTTGAATTGGACAGAAAACAATCACAGTTTAGGTTAATTTCAAAGCGCTGGTTAAAGCTCTGAAATAGTTAACGACATTTAACTTTTTCTAAATAATAACACACACCACCACCAAAACTGTACTATGTCCACGATCAAAACGGCAAAAGAACTATATATTTTAAAAAACGTGTGAATTTTACTGCGTTTATTTTTCTAAAACTTATTTCACCAGCTCTTTCAACTTTAACGTTGTAACCAAAAACGCTAAAATTCTTTGAAAATATTCGCAACCCCATCACTACCGGGAAGTCAAAACTCTTAAGTCCAGGCCTTGTCGGGATGTTTATTTTTTGCAATTTTGTTTTCCCCAAAATAAACATTTCAAGACGCACCTACACTGTTGCCACGTGGTAAATCAAACATAACTTATTTTAGTTATCTTTAATCCAGACAGCAAAGCAACGGAACTTGAAAATAAAACAATATTACTATTTATTTTTTAAACAATTGCAAACAGAGGCCTTCAGTGGATACAATGCTTCCGAATGGCAAAAAGACTTTTTTAAAATGTATTAAAATCTGAAATTCGTAGTAATTTTCCACTGATCTTTATCTGTCTGAGAAGAAAACTACAACTAACAAAGAACCGTGGATGACCATGAATTATTGTACAACAAAAACTTAAATAATAGTAAGTAAAAGTTCCTTCTTAATAACATCAGAAATCCTTTAGAAAAATAACTCGGGGAACTTTCAATCTTTACAGTTTCAGATCATTAAGTTTTAATTATTGACAGAATCACAGAAGGCTACTTTTGTTCAAGACCTCCCCAGCTGCCGTCGTTCCCAATAAATTATTTACAAAGCCTCCCACCAAAAATGGACTTTCTCCTGCTCTCATCAACAGTACATTACATCGCTCGTTAAAGTTAATAAAATAGAGTCGACGGATTTGTTTTCCCCCCTCGTACGGTTTATTTTGTTTGTTGTTGTTGGTTTTTATGATCACGGTGGCTCGTTTCATCCACACATACCACACACAACTTTTTTTTCCCGTTTTCTCTTAAAATTCCCCCATCTTAAGCCGAACAACGGCTTATCGTTTTCCCCCAAGACATTCCCTTTGCGACACGTCCCTTCCACAAGCTCTTCGGCAACAAGTAGTCCATAACCTGCCGCAAGTTTACCATTCGGATCGAGTTTTAATGGAATGCAAAGAATTCATTAAAAGGATATAAAACGAAAGGGTAAATCGAAGAAAATACTTAATACTTACAGTTGATTAAACGACAAAGAAGGAAAAACGCGGGGGTTATCCTAAAGCTGCAACGAGCCTCCTTGGAATACAATGTTTTTGCGGACTTCTGAAAATGTTCCACTTCAATCCGCAACTCCCAGCTGAAGCGACTCTGGAGAACAAAACAGCAACAATCTGATCCTTCATCGCGTACAAATGTCGATTTAAACGCCACATTTTCGACAGAACTTGTCGCAAAGCCCCGCTGCGGACTCTCTCCGGTTGGTGATCGGGAGTTATCGCAGCCCCAGCGTGCGTAAGGTCGGGCTTCTTTACAAAAAAATGTAAAAAATGTCAGATTTTCGTGCTATGTCAGGCTACAACGCAGTGAGTCAGTGGACAAAGTGAAAGCACCCTGTTGCAAGAGCGGCGAGAAACAATGTAAAAGCCCAGTATACAGATCAACAAACCACTTTCAGCCCTCGCTACTAGTTACCAGTGATGCTTAATACGATTTTTATTATTTGAATCTAATGCATTTTAGTCGAAAGGTACAACTTTATTACCAAACTACCCAGCTCCAACCATTTTGCATACCATTAAATGCAAACTTACCTCAAAACACCACTCTCTGCTAGTGTTATTTGATTTTAATTTCGGCCTCTCTTTTTTTTTTTCTCTCTCTCTCTCTTGTATGTGCTGTTTAAATCTTTGTAAACTGTGTAAAGTTATTCTCGTGTTTCTGGGCCGGCCGGGTTTTGTGTACGTGAATCGGCGGCGCACCGACAGGGATGCGAAGAATGCTCGGAATGAGAAGAGGAATGAAATGAACGCGAAGACCGAGCTCGCACCAGGGCGGAGCGAGGGTGGCGTCATCCCGAACCCCGTCGCCAGCCGGGGTAGGAGGGACCAGCGCCGAAAGGATGACCTCACGAGAGACGCCGCTTTCAAACTCCACACACACACAAAAAAAAAAAAAAAAAAGGAAAGGAAAGGGAGGGAACTTTCAAATGGACGTCACCAGTGACCCCCCTTCCATCCCTCCCCATTACCAGACTCAAATCAAAGGGGGCGATCGATAATGTCAGTACCCTTTAAGTGAGTGCCGATTTAAGATTTTTGGTGCGGAAAGGAATGGGAGGATGAGGGCAAGGGAATACATTTCTTAGTATCTCATCGCCATCCGCGCAGACGTCCATTCAAGTTAAAACAAGAGTATCGTACGTTTCTCTTTTAGAAAAGAGCTGCAGCTGGGTAAATCGCGCTAGTTCTGAACTTTACCGCGTCTTGCTTTAGCCTCTGCTTCTGCTTTACCATTTGTAATGTATAGTCTTCAAATAAAATTACTAATTTATGAACCCTTTTTGCACTCATGCTGTTAACTAGAACTTGGGCATTAAAAACATACTCTATTTTTCAAGTTAATTCAGATTTGCTCATTTTAAGACTGTCTGAAAATGAGCCAGAGTTCATGAGGAAGAAGGTACAGCAATTCAATCAACCCTTCACATCTGTGAGGACTGCATAGTGACTACCACACAACATTAGTATTGTATTTTGTTAAACTGGTCTAACCAGCTGTGAACATTGCAAAATGTGGTTAAACAGGAACTTATGCATGATTTTTAACGAAATAATAAACGCCTCCTGTGTACATTCTTGATGAAGTCACTGCCGCATTATGCAAAACGTAAAGAAGCTTGTTAAATAACCAACGTTTTCCTCTAGCTTCACGTCTTACATGCTGACTTTACTACTGAGTCATTCTGTTATTATTTCTGTTAGGATCAGTAGCCATCTATGATCTACAGATGCTTCATCCTACAGAGGGTCACGAGCTACAGGCAGTGTGTCGAAGTCTGTTCGATTCTTCCCAATAAAATCAGCATTTGAAAAGAATTTCCAGAAGTGAATAAGACTAATTAACAAGGGATGAGTGTCCGTAAAAGGAACATGACATATTGTTCTACAGGATCTTGAGATCACTTCGCCCGGAGAGTGACCTTTGAGTAGCACACATCTGGGAGAGCTTGCCAGTGGTCCAAGTAATGGCAAGTGAGGGGAATTGGACACAAGGCAAAAACAAGGATATGTATCAAATAATGGGAAAATAGGGGAATGCAAATGATTAAAAGGAAAATGGAATTTGAATAAAACAAACGACGAGACCAACTGTTCTCATGTTTCGTGAGCAGTCCTGGTGCTGTGCTGTTCCACCCTGGTGCAGCTGAGGAAACATGCTGCTACATGACAGGACTGAAAAAGATCCAGAAACGATATATCAAAATTTGGTGGGAGGCAATTGCAAAACCTTGAATTCCAAGTTAGCGACCAGAGGGCATGTGTTTAGATCCTACATAATGCCTTGGTAGGGATCTGTAGTAGTTAACTTGCCCAGTCGTGTCTAAGCAAGCTGTCTTTCAAGAGCCTTTTTTTTTTTACACTGTTGTCTTTAGGTATAGAAGTCCGTAAAACCCAACAGCTTATTTTTGAAAAAAAATCCATCAGCAGTTGTCATGTCTGTGGGCATGTTATTTGTGAGGACACAGAAATGGAGCAACCGCATGGGATGGTGTTGGAGAAACGCACAAATCTGCATCTTGTGAAGTGGCAACTGCACTCCAGGAGCCAAAACACAAATCCAGACTTCTGTTTCTGCCAGACTAACTGCTTGAGCACATCCTTCCCAAGAATCTTTGTGCAAAAAAAAAACTTGAGAGGAAAAAGAAGTGTTTCATTTTTTTACAAGGAATTCGTGAACTTTTTTTGAAGTAGGTGGAGCCGTGGCAGCTCAGACGGCAAGGGCGTCTAGCTCCTGACGGGAAGGTCCTGGGTTCAATCCCAGGTAGGGGCAAGTAATGGAGCTTTCTCGAATTCCTTCCAGATCCAATCAGCCTGCTTTCCAAATGAGTGCTGGGCGTTGATCCTTCTAGGAGTAATAGACTGGCTGGAGTGTGATGCTGATCACCTCCAGTGTTGGATGGTTGAGAAAAATGGTGGCCCTCACCCCCATTCCCCCCTGGGCCTTAATAGCCTGAAAAGAGGACCTAACCTGCCTACCATTTAAAGTAGGTATACACTGTTCACAGATATACTGCTTTAATAAATAGATGAAAGATTTTCTAAAATGATAGTAACACTGAATCAGTTTTGATTTGTGCAAATATAGACATATATTGCAGTTCCAAATTTAGAGCGGTATTTAATATTGCTTTTCCTAGAGCCAGTATAAATATGTCTTATTAGGTTTATTATAAGGTTTCAATGTACATGTGCTGCATAACGTATATATAAACAAACATTTGTAAATCTTTCTGAGATACCAGCACTAGTTGTACTCAGATTGACAGAGCTGTGTTGGATAAGAGCAGTAAGCTAAGAAAGAAAACAGGCAAAACAAAAAAACAGGTCACTAAACGTGTTGGGGAAAAACAGCTTAACAGAAAGTGGCATCTACAGTATAATACAATTTTGCAGTGACGAGAGAAGTTTAAGTCCTTGTAATGTAAGTGAAGTCCCATTATCACTGCATTTCATGCTGCGTAGGACCCGTTTTTCATTTCGTGTAGCAGCTTGGCAACAACATTGAAAACCTCTGCCAAACATTCAAGCCTCAGTAACCCAATTTCTCCCTTGATTTGTCTCTCAACTAATAAAAAGGCCTGCTAATTACAAAGATGCTTTCTAACATTACTTAATCTTGATTTTCCTTTGTTCTCTTGGGTGGCGGTGTTCCAGGGCAGTACCATTAAATATCAAAAGGTATGTTTATTTATGCAAAAACCAAGGGTATGGGAGAGCTCTCCTGCCTTTTGGTTCCTGTGGATGAGGCGTTAGGGAGGCAAAACATTGGTAGTGAGGTGGTAAACTGGGACCTTTATTTGAGTCAGCAGGTCACCTATTGAAACAGTTGCACAAGCTCTTGGTTAAACATTACCATTGTGTAACCAGGAAGCATAACCATAGATACCTGCCAGTATCGAAACTGATTCATAACCTTACACTCAAAGCATGTTCATGAGGCAAGGTTTATGAAGGGGCACAGTGCTATCACAGTAACAAGGAGGTGATTCTGACGGCAGCATGCATTTAAAAAATGATGAGCATCTGAAAATTTTTAAATTGCTTTTCATATGGTCAAGGTGATCCCAAATATTTCTCGTGGAGGCTTCAGCACACAAAATCTTTAGAAAATACACAAATACCCAAGAACAGCATTCATAAAAATTCTGTGCAGCCCTTGACAAAATTAATTTAGATATCCAATACCAAGCATCATTTTTATCAAGGAACAGGTCTCTGTTTTCTTAGAAGTTTCATAAATAAATTTCCCATTGTATTCAGTTTAAATTATAAATCTGTGATTGTGTGAATATTTGGGGATTTGAATATTCTCAGCAACTGTACAGTTTCAAACACAAACCTTCTAGAGAGTGTGTGTGTGTGCGCATGTGGGTGTGAAAGGGAACAGGCAGATCAGGTTTGTCAACAAATTTGGAACAGACAGCCCCTCATACACAAGATAAGCACACAGTTTAAACCAGGGGTGTAAAAGTCCATTTCACAAGGGTCTCATGATCTTTTGTGGGCACTTTATTCCCATTTGAGCTCTTAATCACTGGATTGATTAGGTGATTGAGAAATTACTTTACAAAATAAATTTAACCTTTAAAAAAAAAACTGAGACAGTTTAAACAATATGCTTCATTGAAGGCACATTTACAATTAAATGATTTTGAGGCCAGCAGAGAACCATTAAACCTGTCTAGCTACTCAAATAATTAAGTGAAGTGCCTGAGAGTCTAGGTGGGAACGGAGTCTCTACAGCGAATTAGCCTTCTAAGAAGTGAGTTTGATTTACACTTGTTTTGAACAATGCTAAGAAGCTCCAGATTTCCCCTGCTGTAGGTACTGATCAAATAAGTAGTTCAAGTAGGTAGGTGCGTCAGCAGGCGTAGGCTGCAAACGAACAAGTAAAGGTTTATTCCATGCTGAAAAGAGAAGAAACACAACATTTCGGCTGTGGAGCCTTTTTCGGGTGTCAAATAAGGATGGCTATTTAAACTGAACCACAGTCGTTATGAGAGCTGATCATTTGAACTCTGGTTTACCACAACTCCGATGTGTGCCAAGAATCTACAGAATCAATGTAATAATGCAGTAAGGGGGCAGATGTTGTCAGTTTTACTGCAAAATGCTTTGACAAACAAATGCAGCACCTGAAATAAAAATGCATTATTATCAAATATAACAGCAAGAATCACAATCTTTACAATGTATGACCAGTACACATAATACAGGATTCTGTAATGAAAGCAGTCTTTTAAACTACAAAATATAACAACCTACAATACACCAACAGATGATTGAATACATATCTGTTTATCAAGCACAGGAAACTAACTGGGTTACAGGATAGCCAGGCCTCTCCCATCTATTTTGGACAGGAAAGTAACACTGATTTCATATGCAGAAAGAGGGAATTTTTCTGGGTTGAAGGAAAGGTGGTTGTGATTTAGCAACATAGTTTAGAACCCTTGCACAAGGAAAGTAAATATGAATTCCACATTATGACACCTGATCATACCTCATTTTTGGAGTGAATACTTTTTAAGTGATATATTTTCTTGGTCCATTTGCAGTTTTTGTTTCTGTGAACAGAAACTATGTTGCCATATTCCAAGTGTTTGGTTTGGTTAGCAGCTGAAAGAGCTGCATTTAATTGTTAGTGATGAACTCCTTTTACTTTACCATTTAGAAATTCCCTGGAGGCCATAGCTTCTTCACCAGGTTTAAGCTAGCAATTTAAGCTCCTTGCCCACCCAGCTCTGGCCGTGTGTTGATTGAAAAGATCTGTTAACACCTGTAACAGTTTTATGATGATTTGGGTGAGGTGGACCTTTCTGGAATGTAAATTTGTAACCACAAACCCATAATCCCCACTC